AAGGGACGCCCACCTTATGAAGAGTTGCCTGTGAATATGTCAGAGTTTGTGGAAGTGTTATCAGAAAGGATAGATGATATTCACCATCAAGTGCATTCAGACTTGAAAGCATCTGCTCATTCGATGAAGCTATCTTATGATAAGAAATCTACTGAAGTCAGCTTTGTACCAGGAGACAAGGTATGGTTGTATAATCCCAGGAAGACCAAAGGGAAGTCTCCTAAGTTGTCTTCTCCATGGAAAGGCTTATATGACATAGTGGATCGTCTCTCAGACGTGACTTTCTGGGTAAAATGTGGTCGGCGAGGTAAGCCAAAAGTAAGTGCATGCCAACAGGCTTTGGCATTATCACGGTCCAGGACATTTCAGTTGGGATGAAGTGAACAACAGAACCAATGACGCTGCTGAAGACGTGCCACCTGAAAAAGCCACCATCGATGAAGAAACTCTACTCAGTTTGGAGAAGGGAAACGGTGAAGCTCTTGATGAAGTTACTACCACTGATGTGACTGTTACTGATGATAGGACATTTACTGATGAAGCAGATGAACCCCACATGAAGCAGAAGCCATCGAGACGGAGACCAGTACGGAAGAAGATACGTCCCGTAAAATTAAGAGACTTTGTTGAATTGTAATTTTGTGTTTGTAATTCTGTACATTTAATTAAGTTATTGTTTTTGGTTTAATTTAAGTGGCTATTGTTCGCTAACTTGTTAGTAAAAATGCTTAATTTTTTTGTGTGCAACAAAGTTGTAATGTTTACTAAAAGCTTGCCAAACTTTTATCAAGATATTAAACTTAGAATTAAAGTAAACATTAGTATGTATAGCTTCACAGATATTGAGTTGATCAATTTGATTGAGCCCATGAACAGATGGTTAATTAAACAGGGCATTGTTATATTAAAGGAATTTTATTACCACATGCAAGTTTTCTGTTCATAAGTATGTTTATTTTTATTAGTTTATTACGAGTTAATAGTGAACAGGTGTCAGGCAATGAGTTTCATTTTGTGAATTTTTTTCCTTGTGGAAAGGCTATACATAACATGTTGAGACAGAAATAAATAATTCCAAACATGCTGTATTAGAATTGTAATAAAAGGTGATATAATTTGTATGTTGTATCCTTGAAATGTATTTCCAAATTATTACAGATCGATCAACAACCATAGGACAGATGATCAGTCAATATTTACAAAAGAAGGTAGAGCTAGAGGACCATGTCATTCACCTTCTTTTTGCTGCAAATCGGTGGGAAGCTGTGTAAGTAATTATGTTTCAGTACTCAGATTTGTATATTTAAAATGCTGTATACATCATTGAAATTTTTTAATCATAACTTTCTATTCAATATATGTTCATTCAAAAATTATCTGTTTATTGAACATACAGAGTGACAAGTCTGTCGTAAGAGCAATGCATTGAAATATACTAAATGACAGGTCAATGGCAAGAGCAATGTGTTGAAACATACAAAGTGACAAATCTGTCGTAAGAGCCTTGTGTTGGAACATACTATGTGACAATATTCAGTAAATTCTTCGTTAAATACATTCTCAAAAATTGTATTCGCTACATAATTAGCACTTCAAATTTTCACATACCACACTGACTGTATAATGTTTGTTTCATTTTAATTCCCATAAGAGCAGAAACATGGAACTGAGGTCATAATGCAGGTTAAGCATTAAATCCTCGTAATGTCAGTGACCTTAACCTCACATGACACCTGAAAAAGTGATGAAGTGATCCATTGTCAGTGTTCTTTGATGTCCCAGTCATAGTATAGTAGTTGTGACACTTTGATGCACCACTCAAATGCAAAAAAAATATCTAACCAAGGTGCAGTTTTACTATAAATAAAATTGTTTTGATATTGTTACGTCTCCGTTCGTTAATTGATTTTCCGTAACTTCGTTCCCACGAAACTTTAGCGATACAAGTCCTTTCTTAAATAAAACTGGTTTATTCTTTCCGAATACAACTTTACGATACACTTAATTTCAACAGTCGCGCTATAAATCGCAATGAACGTCTCACGTTCTCGAGTTCAATTACACACTCTCTGACTGCAGTTCAGTTACTCACTACTACACTGTTGTCACGTCTTATATATACAAGACTAACACATATCTAGTAAATGCTAGGGCATTCTTGAAAGAACAGGATGTTTCTAGAAAGGGGTGGCGTGATACTAGTCGCGTGACCTCACTGACGCAACAATATATTAGTCTTTGCCATCATTGCTGAGGAGGGTTGGATAATCAGAAACATCCAATGAAGTGGGTTTGAAAGTGCCATCGACTGGCCATTAGTCACTGTATACGAACAGTCCGGTGAAGTGGTTCTACACAGTGCACTGTGTGTGTGTGTGTACTATATTGAGAAAGGTATTATAATTCTGTTGCAAATTTAAAGGTTGTGTAATAACAATTGGTTATAACGTAAGTTGAGAGTGACATGAGCACAACCATTCTGGCAATGCCACTAGCATTGAAGCTAAGAATGTAATGCACAGCATACAAAATGATTCAAAGAATACACATGATGCACTGCATTATATTGTCTCACACGCATCCATTGGACTCAGCCAAGCATTGGATAGCATAAAAAAGAGCTATTCGGAAATTACATGGGAAACAAAGTCTAGGGTTAGTTGCTCCAAATTATCAATGAGATATTGTTTTTCCAGAAGAACACTAAAACTGGAAATGGAGAACAGTTTTTAATGTTTGACTCTGGTGTGACAGATGATCAAATATTGATTTTTTGTATAAGAAGGAACCTATAGTTACTGGCAAGTTGTGATTATTTGTATGCTGATGGAACATTTAAGACCATTCAGAATATTTTTGAACAATTATATGCAATTCATGGGCTGCAAGGAAGCATTACCATCACTTTAATTTATGCATTGTTGCCAAATAAAAATGAACTTACATATGTTAGACTTGTTAGAGGGATAAAGGAGTTAGTACCTGCCTTAAATCCCGTGTCTAAACTAACAGATTTTGAACTTGCAATGATAAATGCAATTAACATTGAATTTCCATGTGCAGTTAATTGTGGGTGCTTTTTAAATTTTTGTCAATGTATTTATCATAAAATTAGTGAAAATGGCCTCAAGCACAGATACAACACAGATGCAGACTTCGTTTTAAAGATTTGCATGCTCTCTAAACTAGCATTTGTTTGTACAGACAACATTGCAGAGATGTTCAACTTTTTTATTGATGAAAACATTTTCCTACCCAAAGCTCAACCTGTGGTTGATTATTTTGAAGATACTTGGATTGGACGTCCTGATCGAAGACAATGACACCAACCACTTTAAGCTTGAGATGTGGAACTGCTATGAAGGTGTGCAGCAAGACTTGCTAAAAACTAAAATTTCTGTAGAACGATTGCATCATGGTTTTTAGCAACAAGTTTCTGCAAATCACTCACATTTATGAAGGTTTATTTCTGCGATAAAGAGGGAACAAAGTCTGAAAAGCTATGTATTGAGCAACATTTGAGTGGTCAGATTGTAAAAATATATATCGTGACTGTGAAGAGAGATTAAAAAGACTTCGTGATGCATTTCAGCCAATAAATAATATGCATGATTACTTGAATGGTATTGCACATGACATAAATTAATAATTATTACATGGTTAAAATAAAGGAATAATACTGGTGTTTTTTGAATATTTTTAAATATTCAGATAAAATTGCCTATTGTAATATCATGATATAATAATATTCTCCATTCTGATTAAATATCTCATTTTTTACATATGTATGCCTTTCCTTGTGTATTAAATAATATTGGTCCATTTAACGTCAAACTTTCATCGAAAGGTAAGTTATATGCCTTTTTTAAATAATGTTTTTTAATCTTGTTATAATACATTAATCTATAATTAAAAATCAGTCTAAAATTGGACATTCAATTAACTTTTATTTCAAAGTATTTTTCATAAACCCTAACTGACAGGTCTGTGGTAAGAGGAGTGTGTTGAAACATACTAAATGACAGGTCTATGATAAGAGCAGTGCTTTGAGAAATAGCCTTTTTTTATCCTACCTGCTAGTTTAGTTTTCTTTTCAGGACAATCAACATAACTTTTTGTTTTTTCAAAAATTATCCATTAAAGCTTTTAAGAAGCACTAGGAACATTCATGTTCTTTTGTTACAATAATAATTAAAGTGATCAGATCTTTTATTTTCTCTGTCCTTGGGTGGAATAATTTGGCCCACTGATGCCAAATGTTCAGAGTCTCATAGGCTTTTTATAAAGGATAAGCCATGGAAATCTTCCAAGTTGTATTTAATGGAATAAGTGAAACATTCCTAATTTTAAGAATGTAATTGAACAAGAGAAATGTGGTCAGGAAAGATATTAGTAAAATTAATAAAGCATTTCACACACCCAGTACCTTGACATATCTGTTTATCATTTAAAACTAATCTGAACCACAACACAATAAACATATCAATAGAATACTAATGAGAATGTGTTTTTAGCTATTATTGTACATTAATCAGATTGAACATATTGGTTTGATACCAGTAAGGAGATAACTAGTAACTATTACAAACAAGCTGAGGTACCCATCCTTTGTCCAGGTTATGAACTTAAAAAAATTTGCAGGATTGATGCTGTGATAATTAACTCAAAAATACTAACTTTCACACAATTTATTTATAACATTATTACAATATTCATTAATACCTCACCCAAAGTTTTGTATACGCTTCAAGAACTCACCATGTATATATCTAAAACATGATGTACACTGTGTGATGGTCAGGGTGACTTTGTATAAATAAGTAGCAGCCAAAGTAGTGGTGGTAGGGGTGCTTTCTGTTACATGCTTTCAATGCTCAGCTCTTAATGTCTTTCCACACAGTTTCACGTTATTAAGTAATTGACGGTCATTTGCTGCATTATTGTCTTACTTGATGAAGTTGTAAGATCGTGGGTCAAAGTAGGAAGTTGGTATAACTAAAGAAATGACTTCATATCAGCATTATGGTGGCTGTTGTAGTATAAACTTCATCTGAGTTTATGTATTATTGTAGTAGTCGTGTCCATTTTTTCATTGCATTCCTCCAAAGAGAATGCTAGTGCATTCCCTGAGATATACAAGACATGTGCCCTTCCCCCCACATTGTGTGTATGTTGTGATGTAGAAATTTTATAACATTTTTTCTTTCGTTTGATGTAAGAACATGGTGCCATATATGAACGTAGTTAAAGTTTTTGTTTTTTAGTGTAAGGACGTGGCACCATCTATGAATGTAGTTATCGTTAATTTATGTCCGAGATAATAAACACTCAATAACAGCATTAATGGGGGGTGGAGAGGGTTGTGAACACCCCATTAATATGCTTCTTGTTCCAAACTACTATTCCGCAAAGGTTGGTTAAGATTGGCTCAACAACCTAGAAGTAGTTAGATAAGGGACAAACAGGTAGACACAGATTTTTCTGCTTTATATATATATAGATTACCCAAGATAAACGTTTGACAACATTTCTTTCAGCTGCTAATGGGAAAGTATTCTTTAACTTGATTGTGTGGGATAGGTTATCACAGTGATGTTGACCAAATAAACAGAGCACAGTTATGATTTTAATGATGGTTCTCCTTCCCCTTAGGTTGCATGATGATGATGGTTAAAACTTTACAATTTATGGAGTTTTAGATGTGTTCAATATAAAGATTTAAAGAGTGATGAGCCCATTCCAGCCCACTATCTCCTTTTTACCAGAGCAAAATGATGATAGAGTTTTGAAACATTCTCTGTGATCTCTTCCCTTAATTTAACCATCTCCCCAAAAAAAAGAAATTTATAACTTTAATGTTGAGATTTCAAGTTTTCTTTTCTTTAATTAATATTTATTTTCAACTTGTCAGTGTACAAAACAAAGCTGGAGACCTGTAAACTTTGCACAAGTGTTTTGCAAATTTGTAGCTCATATAATTTGAAGACAGTGAATGTTTGAAGTTGGTGATGTCAAACATTGTAAAATCCAGCATTCTGCATTTTTTTCTCACAGTTTTCAAATTTATGAAACTAGTAAAATCGTAAATATAACAACTAGAACTTGGGTTTTTTTCTCACTATCCATTTGCTGTAGAGTTCCTTCTGTCCCTTGCATAGATGCTAGATTGTAGATTTGTAAAATTTTGTACTACTTTTCAAGGTGCCTTGAGGCCATGCCTGGTTTCTGTCTTATAAGTTGTTAATGGTTTTTTATGCCATGAAAAGACAGTAAATTAACTTAACAAATTTTATTAAACTAATTGCTTCAGCAGTTAAACTGTTGCTACAATGTATGTGGGTATATATATATTGGTGTACTTTGGTGACAGATTTTCTTGTAGGCAGATTTTGTTGAATAAGACCGATCTACAACTTTTGCCCATTGTTCTAACAATGTTAAAACAGCTTATCGACTTCTTGAGAAGATTTCCAAGAAGAAAGTAAACCTACAGACATCTGTCTTATTCAACAATATATATACACACACACACACACATTTATGTATGTATGCATATAAGGAATAATAAATGACATCTGGTCTTGTAATTTGTTTTATTGATTAGAAATGTGTGGGCTTCACAGAATTGAAAGAAGATTGTTGTTTTATGCCATGTCACTTAAAGTTAACTTTTTTTTTTAAATAATCAGTTTCACTATTATTTGGTGTAGCGATTAAATGTTAGACTAGTTATAAAGGTAAATATGGTCTGTGATGAATATATATTAATGTTTGGCTATCTTTACTCTTGAAATTTTTCAAATGTGTTAAAATAGCCATCTTTAAGCATTGCATGATATGTTTTTCCACTTTTCAAACATTATGTGCATGGACACTATCTAGATGTTTCATTTCAGTAAGAAAATGGAAAATCTGCTTCTCAACGGAACAACATTGGTGGTTGACAGGTATTCATTTTCAGGAATTGCCTTCTCGGCAGCTAAACCAGTAAGTTCATTACAACAATAAAAGTTACCTGTTTGTAAAAGGTTATCTTATCTCATCATCAGTCTTCTTCACTACATATTGACCAGAAATAAAAACTAAATTGTGTATTTATTAATTTTATATATGTGAATAGGTATTTTTTATTGTGTAACAAAAAGTTATTTATCAAATAACTGATTACCCAGTGCATACTCATCATAATTTTCTAAATAAATACAAATATATTATTACATAAACAAGTTTATTTATATAAGAATGATGTAAATTATTGAAACAATGAGTTCTGTATCAATTACTAACAAAATTAATAGTAAAAAAAAGGTACATAATATAAACAATTTTTATTGAAAATACTAATTGTTTAGAAAAAACAGATAAATGTGAAGAAAATTATGGTAATAATTGTTGCATAAGGTCTGATCTGTTAAGTAAAATGAATTTAATTATGAAATCTAAAAATTATCTTTCAATTGTTATGTGATTCTTTTTTGGTTGGAAAATACTGAGATTTTATAGTGATCATTCTTAAATTTATATTGTTTATAATTGCTGTAAATATAACTGTTTATTATATTTTCCTTCAAAAATTAAAAAGAAAAGATTTTGTCAAAATACAAGTACAAAAAATTTAAGGACAAATCGTGAATTGCTAAATTTTGCTCACAGTAAGCAGTAGTAAGTGAATTTAATTTTTTTTTTTTAAATACTGTTTGAAACTTCACATGGTGAGACTGTAGCATGAAGTTCTATTATTTATGAAGCTTTCATCAGTCATATAAGTTATTTTAACTCATTATGAACAAAAAGGATAATTTTTCTAATATAATCCATAATAAAAATTTTAAAGAATTGGAAAGAATTTTCCACACAAAAAATATCTAAACATAGAACCTATTCATTTACCAAAATTTCTTCACAGTAGACAACAGTAAGTTATTTTGATATTGTTTTAGCATATGGATTTTGAGTGGTTGAAGCAACCAGAGGTGGGACTCCTTCAACCAGACCTTGTATTATTTCTGGAGCTTTCATCAGATGTAGCCTCAAAGAGAGGAGAGTTTGGACAGGAGAGGTATGAGCAACCTCAATTTCAAAGAAGTGTACGACAGATCTTTAGAAAGTTACAAGACAAGTCTTGGCAGGTATAGTTCATAATGCTTCAACTTAAAACATCAGTCTTACTGTGAAATAATAATTGTTTAAACAATCAATAAGTTTATGTTTATTTGGTTATAAATTTCTTAATATTCAATTTTCTTATTAGATTAATTATTTATGAAATACAAAACCTGTAGCAAAAGTATCTGAGGATCAGCATTTGTGAGGGGGTTTATATATGGTTATAATTCCATCGTAATAAGACATGTTTAAGTTAATTTGCACTTCACTTGATCTCAAACATATGCTTGAACATAAGCAATTTGTAAAAATACCTTGTTCAGTTTAATTTAATTCACATTTTGAACTAACTATAATGTCATTGTTTGGAGCTACAGTTGAGTAAAACAAATATGAAAAGTCATCTGGGTTTGTTTTTTAATTAATTTTCAATCTTTATACTTCTTTTGTCTCTGTTATTTTCATGAATAACTATACACACAGATGCCCATATTTTTAAGTAATTAAACTTTGTAACTTCGTTTTGCTCTTTATACTGTTGCATCATGTTCTATTATTAGGTAGGTTCTATCAAATTATTTAGTGGAAATAATGTAAATTCTAGTCCATGCAATAATAAATTAGGTTATTTCTTCTATAATGTTTTTACAGGCTGCATTCACTTGTACTTTGTAGGCTTAAGTTCACAAACACCATTGCAACAGGAATTCTGGCACTAATAATGCTATGCCTAATTTACAAAATAAACTTATTTACAGAATTCCAATATGGTACTTCCCTTATCTCACAAGATTAGCTATTCTCGTCCAGTGCTGCCCTCTATATGTAAATTATTTCTTTACACATGCCACAAGCCTTCTGCTCCCCCCTATTTGACAGTCGCATTGTTATTTATTCTTTCGATTATTGGTTGACTCTTCCTCACTGTGAATTCTGAAGTTCATGTTACCACTTTGGTTACTCTCACACCTCTTTATGGTATCTCTCTATATACCATCTCCTCTCTGAGGCTCTCCACCAAAAACCTGAGGGATTTTATGGGGATTTCCTCTTTCTTCTTCCTTCACGTTGGCTCGTTTGTTATCTTCGACTCTGGCTTTACAAACTTGGTTTCTCTGTTGTTGGGACCTTCTAGGTCATACTACAACCTTAATTCCTGTCCATTTACCATCATCTTATCTTAGGGATTTACGTATAACCCCATTTTTGCAGCGATACGTATTTGAAATGATCTCTGGGTCTTTGGAATCATGGGTTGCATCAGTACAACAACAGTACTCTTTCCAACCTTGTTGCCCATTTGTCTATGTCAAAGCCCAATAGGGCACCTGTTACCATTTCCCATCCCTCCCCTTCTCAACTTTTCCTGTTCCTTCTTCTCAGTCTTGTCGTTTTATGCAATGATGCACATCATGTTACCAACAGTATTGGTGACTACCCGGAGGGAGCTCAGCTTGGTGGTTTTCTTTTTCACTAGTGTCCTTTCATCAGGAATCTTTGGGTTCTTCAAGTTTTCACGGAAGGATTCCTGATCCCATAATTCCCACCTCCCATGTCTCCTATATTCTTTCCTTCCCTCCGCCTTGGGATCCCATGACTAGCCAGCATCTGTTGGAGGCAGTTCTGAAACTACTATTACTGCAGGCCATCGTACATGTTCTACATACTTCATGAGGTTTTTATTCCAGACTATCTTTTGTTCCCCAAAACACTGGGGACTGGAGGCCTGTCATTGTATTCTTCCCCTTCAATTGCTTCTTTCAACTGCCACATTTTACCATGGAGTCATTTCTCACCCTATGGTGGGCATTTTATCCGGACTTATGGATAACCAGGATGGACGTCGCCAATGCTTGTTTCCACATCCCTTTATCACCATGGTCTCATCTGTATCTTTCATTCGTCCATCATGGGGTGGTATATCACTTTTGCTCCCAACCCTTATGTTTTCTGTCAAGTGGTCAGAGCTTTCCTCACCATCTTCATGCTCTGAGGTCATGATTCTACAATTATATGGGAACTGGCATCTTCTGGCTCCTTCCCAACTGGAGTTATTCAGCTCCTTCTAGTGGCTGCTTGGGTGGACTGGTTCATCCATTTGGAGAACTCTTTCCTCTGACCTCCCCAATATCTCATCCACTTGGGTGTACCTTTCGCCACTCATCTTAGTTAGTCACGCCCTTTTAGCTCCCTCACTTCTGCTTGTGAGGTTGTATCCTTTCTGGATATGTGGTCGTCAATGACGTCACTGGTCTCCCCTTCAGTGGACTTTTCATGATCAGTGGAATCTTGCTTGGGATCCCTGTCAGTTCCTGTTACCCTTCCTCCTACCTGATGGATGATCTGCATTGAATGGACAAGGCCCATTTGTCAGCGGGCATCCAGCTTCTTCCTTCCTCTGTTCGGGATCTTTTACCCTCCCCAATTGGGATCACCTCTTGATTCGATTACACCTAATACATTTGCCTCCCATAAATTTACACCATGTCTTGGTTTCTTTTTTGTCAGGTTTTCATCTTCCACCTGTGGCCATTCTTCAGATTTCAGTGTAACTTTGACTGGGTAAGTTTATATTCATGTTTTTCCTTTCAGGGGCCCTTGCTTAATTTGCTCATTACATGGATCCCACTCTGTGGCAAGTAGTGCCTGAACAGTTATTCTTTAACTTGGAATCTGCACTGTACAGTTATGTTGAATGATGCTTTATCTTTCATGACTTCGCAATACTCTCTATTGAGATGGGGTGTTCCACAAGATCGCTTGTAGCAATTGCTTCATAAACTTGCCCATCCCTACCATGCCTTGTATTGAATAAATCAGTGTGGTCTACTTTTTAAAATAAGGTTTCGTGGTCATTAATTGCAGTGTCTCAGGTGATGATGTTCCTCTGGACTCTCCACCACATTCTCACCCCCTTTCTTCTAGTTGAGTATGGGAGTCCTTACCACTTTCCAATTTCAATCCTCTGGGATGTTTGACCATAGAGGCATCCTCCTGAATAGGCTCCACACAAAGATGGCTATAACCGTTCAGTGCAGAGTAGGGTGGTGGTGTTCTGAAGGTGTAGATAACATGATATCCTTCAAAATGCAATACATTCACAAAGGAGTGAGACGTCAAATTGCAGTTAACCCCTTCATTTGAGAGCCCTCATCCTACCCCCCACGTGGATGTCAGTACCCCATGGCTGGGTTTTGGATTTAGAGTAGAACCAATCAACATAAGTTCTCACACATGTTTAGGGTGTCTATCTTCCTCCCTCGACCATACTCATTCTGTGTTGGAGGTCACAGTGGAGATTGTTCTAGTTCTGTCCTTTTTGCTATCCCTTGTTTTATCTTAATCCTATTGCCCCAGGTATCCTTTACTGAGCATTACACAAGGTTTTAGTGTTTTACATTCAAAATATTATTAAACTACTTTTTGTTTATGTTATACCAATTAGTATAGCAGAAAATCTTAGCTAATAATCCATATTTTAACATAATATAATAATGGTTGGAGACGGCTTGTACTTGATGATGACAAAACCTTGTCGAAACGTTGTACATTTCCTGGTGTGTTAAACTTATATTCAAGTTTTTCTTCATTACCCATTCAAGCTGTCTCCAACCATTATTATTCTCAAAGTGGGTTCCTCGTCATCGAATTTTAATGACATAATATAAGTTTTAAATTCTTAATTTTGTATGACAATTTTCAAAAAATTCCTGAATTTCCCCTAGTGTGACACATTTTCTCTTCTCTATTTTATCCACCACCCCTCCAATAAGTACGAAATTAAAAGCAAATTACTCACTATAAAATCGTCATTGCTCAAACAAACCATAATTTTTATAGCCTTCAATTTTGTTTGGTTAAAGAGCTATCCAATAGAAAATCATAGTTTTCTTGCCACACCTACCTGTCATAAACTCTTTTTCAGGATTTGTTAACAGCTTTCTCTTACGTTTCATTATATATTACCTATAACCTATAGAAATTCAAGGTTTTCATCTATAAAATAACATATTGTATAACATTATATTCTGAACAGTTAATGTCAATTTCATTCAGAGTATCAACATCGTTCCCATGGGAAAGTTAATGACTAGCTTGGATGAATTTGTAATGCTCTTGTCGCATAGTTAGAAAGCCATAAAATTTTTGAGAGGTGAGAGAATTTGTCTACTTTTTGCATGTTATTAGTCTATATTCTTTGGTGCAATATTTAATTAAATAAACATTATTAAGTGCATTACTATAAAAAAAAAAAAAGGCTTAACTGTCCTTGACAATTGAGAGCAAGAGAAAAGAAGATTGGGTAATTACTTTATTTTTTGTTTTTCATACTTATTATTATAAAAGTAACTAAAACCTAAAAATACAGATCATTTTAAGTTATTTAAGACTAGATTAGGTAACATAAGTAACAATAATAATATAGTTAAAATGGTTCAAGAGGCACGCACGTGAGCAACTTGTGGGTAATGTAATTTGATAGCGTAATATGACCTGCACATTCTCAGAGTGAATTACAAATTATGATGGCATTGACAGTAGTTAGACACGGTTCAAGGGGCAATAAAATTTAATTATAAACTGATGTATACTGTTACGAACTTAGAGCTACTTAGGATAAACGAATGTAGTTTGGTGTTGCAATTTGAAGTCATTCTAGAAAGAAAAAAAAGGGTAAATTAGGTTTATTTCGTTTTTTGTTTTTATGTGTGTTTGTGTGTGTGTGTGTGGTTATGAGGTCAGTTGAAATGGCCAGTTCCATTTTGAGATAGAGTAGAGAAAATAACAGATAAACTGTAAAAGTTTTACTGAAAAAAAACATTTGAAATGCATTTAGGAGGTTGTAGAGATTACACAAAAGAAATTTGAGATTTTTGAGATGAGGAAAAGTATTTTTAATTTTAACATGAAAATTACTTTGCACATGGACTATTCAAAACAAATACTCAATATATTCGTGGACAAATCTTTATTATATTAAAAATACTTCACCAAATTTCGTGAAGATATACACACTATATCGAGAGTTATAAGTATTAAATCTATAAAGACTTTAAACGAGTACAAAAAGGTCACATGGTCGGTCAAATTGACCGAGCCTGTATTAATCTGAGGATCGTATTGCTTTTTGAATGGTTATGGTTGACTTCTTATGTCCATATTTGCAAAAGAAATTTTCTCTTTTCTAACTTTAACTTACATTTTGATAGTAATCACCCAATACTTGCATATAAAGTTTTTTAAGTCTATATACTATATGTAATACTGCCAACTCATTTTTTTGAAGACCTAGGAGGATGAAACATACCATAAGGATTGAAGTAACTTAGGGTATTAAAATAATGTTAATTTGTTTTGCTTTCAACTTTTAGATTTTTTCTTCAGTGATTAATAGTAAAAGAAAAAGAAGTATGTAACGTTCATTTGTTATGTAGTAATATTTCCCCTCAAAATTATTGTTTTGTATATTTAGTACTGATAATAAAATGATTGAGATTAGTTGTATATTGCTTTCTGACAAACCAGTTGTACTCTATTACATAAACATTTGTTTTACATAGGATACCAGTGTATCTAGTAAATTAAGTGCTGTTAAAATAAAACTTTGAGAAAAAAGGCTTTGTTGTTCAGTCTGCTAATTTTAGACTTTGGAGTTGATTTTCCTTTATCAAATTATGATTAACCAAATTACTTTCTTTTTTTTAACATCCTATCCATTTAAGTGTAACCGCGTAAGTCCATTTACTAGCTTACCATAAAAAGATATATATATACACGTACATACGTATAGAGATACTTTTTTTGTAGGTTATCAATGCAGATGGAACGCCAGAAGAAGTACATCAGGATATTTATGAAAAAGTAAAAAGAAGTATTGAGTTGGTTAGTTTTCAACAACTAAAGAAATTTGATAAGAACCTTGGAAATGACCAGAACTGTGAGGATTTGTCTAGTGATTCAGAGGGAGTTCGCTAAATACAGATCTTAGAGACGTTTCAGAAAACTGCTTAAGCCAAGGGTCTGTGTGTGTGTGTGTGGTAACATGATTAGAAGAAGGAGATTGATAGAATAAAACTAGCTCTTTAATGAAGACAATATACACCATTTTTATTTCTATTGTTTGAATTGCTTTATCTAAAGCAAGCAAGTATTCTTGATTATGACTTGATCAATTGTATTGATTTTACTGATTACAGTAAGAAAAAATATATATAACATATCTAAATGTGTGAATGAATAAAGAGTAAAATGTATTAAAGTCCAAAAAAAAATCAACAAATCTTTAGATTTTGGATAGAGCTCCAGATTAAGTTATTGTTATAGAATAGTAATGGCTCTATACTTCTTTGGTAATTATTAGTCATTTATAATTTATATATTGAAAATATACATCGTCTTCCATGAGGATTTGTTGTTCTGATTGTTGTTTTTGTACTGAAGTCTGTTTTGAAATAACATTGTTGTAATCAGTGAATTATAACATCTTTTGTATGATATGAAGGATTGTTAATTTATGGTTTGAAAATGTCATATATGATGCTTAGGCCAAAAATAAAATTTTTTTTGTTTGATATAGTCAGCCAACCAACCAAAAAAGGGCATAGCTAAAAAAAAAGGTTTTTAAATTACCCCCCCCCCCTTATATATTTTTTTACCTGCCTGGTCATTTTGCTATGTAAACATTTCATTCTGTAAAGTATTTAGTTTTTCAAACATTATTTGTCATTTTAGGCTCATTTTTAAAGTATTTATAAATCAATAAACATTTTCAGCAAAACGTATCGGTTGCTTATGTGATTGTTTACACGCTTCAGCAATACACTTCCAGTAAATGCGCAAAAGGATAAGTACAGTGAACATACCCATGTGAGCTGTTTCCTGGCATGCAAAGTTATGGCATCACCGTTGTTCCAGAGAAGTAGAACAGACTAGTGTAATTTGATATAAGTTCTTGGAGTGACTCTTGTTTATTTACATGCTATCCAGCCTCCCTGTTATCACACTTGTAAATGATCAGACCAGATCTTGAACACATCACATTGGTAGATCAGTTTGAAGAAAATAGCAGTGAGAAGTCTGCACACTTCCTGGCAAGAGATAGAGTTAGTCACTAGCATGCTATTCTGTGTAGGTCAGATTATATATCTGGTATGCATTTAGTTAGATCAGATTTCTTTCCAATATGACAGGTAATTACTTGCAAAAGTTTTGTAGTAGGTAAACTAGTTCTCTGTTAATTCCTAAGTTTCAAGTCTTGTATACTACTGTTGGTTGTAATGTACAAGTTCCATTGTAAATGCTCAGATATGAGAAAGATGGTGGTAGCTGTAGAACATGTACCATCTGCTTATATGGTTTTAAGATTCATGAAATCATGGAACTCATTAATTCTAGTTCAAGGAAATGGCCATCAGTGAAACAAAATCAATATACAGATTTTTGTATTGCTTATTTAGCAAAATCTGTTGTTAGTGTGTGTTTTTCTGGTGCCGAGGTGAGGAGTTGATATTTCGTTATTAAGATCATTAAAACATATTGTGCCATGAAGACTTGCAAACATCATTGGACCAGGGCAGAAAAATGTAAACCTTGTAACTAGTGAAAACAGGATATAAGACTGCCAGTTTCTATACCATACAGTTTGTGGTGTGTGTTTTTAATTTTTTGGCATTAGAGCAGAATGGCTTGTGCTTCATTGGAAATGTACGATTAGCACGTCTTCTTTACTTTTGACTGATTTGGTAGGAAATCAGTATTACATCTAGTCTGAAGCTTTGTCATTTTGTTATTCCTTGGCATTTAATGACATGTATGTAAATGCACTTTCACATCTCTGTGTTCTTTTTCAGTAAACATCTAAATGTTTGAACTAAAGTGACATTTACTGTTTGTCACATCACTTACTGGAAGAATTACTAACAGAGTCAAGTATCACTACCTGGAACGCCCAGGGCCCCATCTATTGTAGATTGTTTGTTGGCTAGAAACACACAAACGCATGCAATGTCAGAGTGCAGTTATTCTAGCTTTAATGTTAAGCAGCAAGTACATAGTAGAAAAGTGTCATTATTACCCAGAAGATTTTCAGGATGGATCACAAACATACCACACACCAAATTATTCGTTAAGAAGGCCAGCATAGCCACAGTTAAAGTAACTACATCTACATTACATTGTTGCTAAACAAAGGGCTATTTTAAAAGCCAGGTAGCATGCCTCTCATATTTTTGATACCGTGTTGGTTGTGGAGGTAAAAATTAGAATCTATAAATGTTAGATGATAAAATTTGTAGTACTAACTTATAATTTGATGTAAAAGCACTATGTTTTTAAACTGGAAATAAATTAGATAACAATGCTGCAAATCACAATGCCACTAGAAATAATCTGATCTGACATGCTGATTCTTGAGTAGGTCCCCATTCCTTGATTTTGATTCATATTTCTACCCAGATGTGTATGCATTAAACTTCTCAACCATTGAAGAAGTATTTATTTAATATTGCAATGAGCTTACAATTTTTAATTGTATTAAGAAATTTGGAAAAATTATTTTAAGAAAATGCAACAGGGTTTTTCATCTATGGAATAAGTTCATAGCAATCAAGTGATTTTTTTTTTGCATTTAAGCTTAGAGAATGCATCTTTTGTGACTTCTTTATTAAAAAGATTCTAGGGGACATGCCCCCAGACCTTTCCTAGAGAGACTTCATGCCTTTGGCAATTGTGACTGCTGGCAACCCAAAGGAAAAAAAAAACCTACCTACCTATACCTCAGAGGGGTGAGTAGACAACATCAAACAAACAATTTTTTAAGCTTGGCCTTAATGGAGTCTCACTGTAATGAGATGTTTTTTTTATATAGTGTAGTCTGGTTATAGTTTTTAAGTTGTATAAATGTTTTAGTGTTTACAAAAAAAAAATTGTGCATGATTTGATATTTGGTCAAAACATCAAATTAGAATGGATTCTGTGCAGCACCAAAGTGTGTATTGATGTTACAGATAACATACATGCACACACTTTTATTGTAGCACACCTGCTTGATTTAATATATCACCTAATCAGCATATGTAAGATTTTAATGTTAATTCACTTATTAGATTTTTAGTGTATCAACTGCGGTTTGTACTTAAACTGGTTCCTACGCAGAGATGAACTCTGGGTTGGCTAATTTAGTTTATATATCTCTCATATACAGCTTAGCTTATAATGTTATTCCTAAAGAAGCACATTCTCTTTACAGAATACATTGTGTATTGATGTTGTTTTAATCAGACTTTGTACAGATCCTGAAAAAACAGCTGTTTTTTATGTCATTGTCCTGGGTAAATTCTGAAATTTCAACTTCAATAAAGAAATCCCCCGTGAAATACTTAGTCTAATTATTAAAAAAAATTACAGACAAAAAACATTGGTTTATCAGAAGCAGAGTTGATTTATATTTCACATCAGCCATTGTTAAATTCATGTACCCACTGGTGGGCACCTTTGATGAAAAGAATTCCAGGAAAATACTAGTTCAATCGTGTGTGACAAGTTTTGAGAATCCTAGAAATTTAAGTATGACTCTCAGAAAGTCCTATAATTTTCTTTTGTAAAGTTTTTTTATGAATCCTTTATAATCACTCAACAAGATAATTCCTGCTAAATACATGCACTACTTTAATGTTGCTTGAATAAATATATATTTTGCTTAATACATGTAACTACATTTAAATATAGGAAAACAGAGGACCTGTTAGTCTCTCTAGGCCATCCCAGCCACTATACTAAACTGTAAAATAAAGTTATAAAATGCACAAAGCCATTTTTTATCATTCAAATATTTATCAAGTGTTCTCGTAAATTAACTGCATCTACCACATCTGAAGGCAATTCATTCCAAAGGCCAACCACCTCTGTTAGAAAAATAAAACCTTTCATAGTTGAAGATAACTCCCTATTCTGCCAGACTTTATATTTGTGTCCTATAGTATTACCATTCTCACCATTAAATAAAAAAAAAGATAATGCTTCAACACTATCAATCCTTTTAACAATCTTAAACACTTTCTAACTCTTAATTTTTAATGAGAAAACAATTTCAGGGATTTCAACCTATCTTCATGTGATAACCTTTCCAACAATTCAATGTTCTATATAAGGTAAGGAGCCCATCACAGAACACAGTAATCAAATATGACATAATCAATAACCTATACAATGATATTATAACCTCATTAGACTTGTAACAATATTTCTGTAGATATAACCTAAAATCCTATTTACCCTTCAACTAACAGCAATACATTGCTTTGGATGGCTTAAGAGACTGATCAACAATAACACCAAGATTATTTTCTTTCATAACACTGCTAAGGTTATAAGGTTATTTCCATCAAAATTATACTCATAATTCAAATTGTGATATCCCACATATATTATAATTAAAAACTTTCTTCAATATATTTGCCCAACTCACCAAATAATTAACTTCAAATTTATTTTTAAAGCTTTAACATCTTTCCTGTCAGCAACACACAAAACTTTGATATTATTAGCAAATTTAAATAATTTACTGACCATTCTTCATCTATGTCATTAATGCAAGTGAAAAAGAGCAAAGGTCCTAACACTGAGCTCTGAAGTACCCCACTTGTGATATTAATCCAGCTTGAGTGAACAATAACCTTCTGCTTTCTTCCATCCAGCCAGTTTTGTATCCAATGAGCCAACCTATCCACCACACCTACAGGATAATTTTTTTAACAAGCCTTTTATGTGAAACCTTGTAAAATGTTTTCTGAAAAATCCAGATACATCAAATCCACACTTGTACCCTCATCTACATAAGTAGTAACATCTTCAAGAAATGTCAAAAGATTAGTAAGGCAAACTTTTCCATTAGTGAAACCATTCAGACTATCAAACAAAATTTTATAAACTTTACTAAGTGGCTTTGCAAAGCATCTTTTATCAGACTTAAAACCTTTTCCTGCCACTAATGTAAGGCTGATAGCCTTTAATAACTCAGACAACTTTTATCACGTCTCTTGAAAAAAAAGAGTAACATTAGCCAACTTCCAATCTTCTGGTATCTGCCCTTTATTCAAGGACTTAGAAAAAAAAATAGTAGCAGTGGCCCACATATCCAATTCTTAACTTCCTTCAAAATCCTTGGGTAAATCTTATCTGACCCAGGAGTTTTATCATTCTTTAAACTTCCCAAGTTTTTCTCAACAAGTTCGGAATTAATATGATAATCTTGTTCAGTCTTGTTTCCATCTATCAAATGTTCAGAATAGGAATGTTGTTTACGTCATCATTAGTAAAAATAAAAGAAAAAAAGAATTTAAAAACCCAGCCTTCCCATAATCTCAGATATTAACCTTCTTGTATCATCTCTCAATGGCCATACTCCCATTGTAACATTTTACTTATCATTAACATATTTAAAGAAATTCTTACTATTCAATTTTACATTTTCAGCCAATCTTTTTTTTCATAAAGCTTTTTGATTTACCATTTGATCAACTCTTGATCTTCTGTAAGCCTCCATATCTCCCATAAATGCAGTAAATTTCAACTTATAATTCTGTTCTTTAACCTGGTTTCTTACTTGCAACCACCTTTTTTTTGTTGTTGTTGTTTTTATATGAAACATGCCTATCTTCAATTTTTCTTTTTTTTTTTTAATTTGGAACCAAAATCTCAGTATTCCTTATCCCTATGTGCAGCAAATCATCAAACCTAATTGAGCAATGATCACTTGCACCCAGATGTTTCACAATCTCCACCTATAAGCTATTTCTATACGGCAAGTTAACAGTAAATCTAAAATAGCATTATTTCTAGTATTTTTCTTAATCAATTGTTGAAGAAAACCATCCTAAATAGTTTCTAAAAACCTGTCTCTCTTTCTTTTATAACCAATGACAGGAATCCAAACAGATTCAACTTCATTATTAGTTTTGATATCCTCTAGTGCTCAAAAGCCTTTTTTTTAATCTTATACTTCAGACATTACAATAATAACAGTTTAACCTGCCATTATAAATACTTATACTTTATCCTATGCTATACTTTTTTCTCTACATCTTATTTTCTCTTCATTATTCTGGCCTTCACCAATGTTCAGTCCTAGTTAAAGCTGTTCTCACAGTTGAGATAATAGCTCTTGTAAAAAAACCAGCCTCTACTCTATTTAAAAGTAAACCATTCATTCCAAAAAACTCCCTTTTCCCATTGAATTGACCTCACAGATCCAACCACCAACCTTTTTGTCCTGACATGTTGACCTAAGCCAAACATTTAGCCCTAGTGATTTACTTATAACATTTTTCCTGTTCTTTATGTATACTGTATTGATGTTATTTGAATTAACTTGTCTTCTGTTCAGCACATAAACAGCATTTACGTTACTTGAATTAATAAATCTCATGTTCAGAGCATGAACAATTTTTTGTACTTAGATCTGACAGAGTGTGGTTGCCTGAAATGTAGTCTGAATAAAAAATATTTTTTGAATTGACATTCTAGAGAAGTCTTTGTTTTTTCCTTAACAGAACCTGTTCTTGTAAACCTTTACCTACCAATGTCTGTTTTTAAACCCATGACTCAAAACTGTAAAACCATGTGAGATGCATCAGGTATTAAGAGTAGAATCAATCCATGATACAGGAATAGCATTCTATTTGTTGTGTCACTTTACTGTGCACCATGTAGAATTAATATTTTGTTTTTATACTTAAATTTAGTGCTGCTAAAGGAATAGTACTTTGCTGTATCACTCCTTGCACCTCATTCCTATTTTCTATCAAATAAGCCACCCTATCCACCACACATACAGAGAACTTTTTAAATAAACCTTTTATGTGGCACCTGGTCATTAAGGTAAGTTTAATGTTTTCATGTATTCTTTCTAGAGATGAAAGATCATCCTAATAGAACAGTTTTTAACTTATCCATTTAAAATTTCATGGTAGATCATGCATGACCAATATGTTTCATGAAGTTTAAACAACTGGAAGGTATTATCACCCTGAAAAATACCAGTTGCATAGAAATGGAACTGAAGTTTCTTACGTACAAGTGAAAGTTTTACCAGTTGAAGAATCTTCAGGTCTGGAACATGATACTACTCTTAAGGCTGAAGTAGGAGCTGTAATATCACACTATGTGATTTGTTAGTTTTGCAAATTAATTGATACTGAATATGATAATACAGATACTTAGAGATGAGTAACCTAAATGACTTAAATCTACCTTGGCCTTTGCTCATTATTCAGCAGGATGAGGCATAACATTCACAAATTGACAAATGTTGCATAGAAGTATCTAACCTCAAAGTCGTATAAACAAATAAAAAATGTGGAAAGAAGACTATAATGTCATTACAACCTGCACACCCATGGAGTCTTATCTGTTATTCAGTAATAGTGCTGAGATTATCTGACATTGTTATATTGCAAAATAATTGAAGCTATTAGAGAAGACATCCCATTACAGCTAATACTCAAAGTTGGTTTTTTTTTGGCTGAATTCTTTCTTAAAAAATGTTTTAACTTTGTATTGCCTTCAAAATCCAGAGAAATATATTTACCTGGACAAATTCTAAAAAGAGTTAAAGGTATTGTTTTGGAAATATATCAGCCCTGATACTGCTTATCCCCTCCCAGAAATCAATTCTGATAATCTGTATATCCTAGTAGTAACTGGTTAGTTCACAAAATTAACTGAGTTTTATGTATTGGCTGATACATCAATTCAGACAAATTAGATGAATATGAATAATTCACTTTGTAGTACACTGATCAAGAAGCAAATTTCAACAATCATCTGTTTACTTAGTTACAGTGCTTGATTACAGATTGATTACCAGCACAGGGGGTGAAGACTTTTGCAAGATACTGTATGTAAGGTAAATATGGATGTAATGAAGACTTATACTTCTTTTTATCATTCTTAATTACATGGTTTATCTGAGTGGATGATCTCCAAACTTTCAAGTACATTCTACTTAAGAATTGTGAGTTCAGATTGGGATGATCATCTGACATCTGTAATGATGACTAATTAAGCAACAGTTTACTGGCAGTTCTCCAAACATACTAATCTGCAGAAGAGAAATTATGTTCCCAGTAGAATTGATGTACAGATGGTCACTAGTTGCAGATCTAGTGTCCACAAGAATATTTGAATTATTTCACATCCATGAATTTTTACATCAAAAAATGGAAAAAGTATCTAAAATTCATATAAGACAATAAAAGCAAATTATTCTAAAACAATGGCATGGCTGGAATATGCAGGAGAGTGTACAAGCTACTTGTATCTGCTTGCACTTTTTCTTATGCTTCAAGAACTCAATGTGTTAAATTAAAAAATTATGTAAGAGCACACAACATGTTGACAGACTGAATTGTATATCAGTGATGGGGCTCTGAAACACTGGATATGTCTGGAAGTAGAGAGTCTATGAGTTGAAATTTCTGATTATGACTCAGTAGAGGAAGAGAACATCAAACCTACGCTGGTGAATATTTGTGATGATCAGATGAGAAGGAGCCAATACCAAAGCAATTAATCTGCTTGAATGAATGGCTACAGTGACAACATCAACCCTGAAGTCATTGTAGCTGGCAGTGACATGTAATTTTGACAGTTTAAATGGTTGTAAAAGAAAGAGGAGTTGCATCCCTGAATTGTTGAGCTAATTATTAAAGTAATCCAATATTTTTGCAATGTAGACCATCAAAAATTCACTAGGTTTCTGCAATTAGAAAAGTGAATAATAATATCTATAAAGTTGGCAGT